CAATTTTTACTTAATTAAATAATGCACCAAAGAATATAGACTAATAACATGCAAAACGTAGACAAATTCACTATTAAAAATTTTTCAGGCTTTCTAACTGTGTGACAAGATCCATTACAAATTCATCCAAGCTAGTTGTTAACTTTCCCATGGGAACGATGTTGCTACCCAGAGTGAAATTGACAGTTATCTATTCAGAACACAATGTTATACATTACGCCATTTGATAGATGAAAATCTTGACTTTCTATTGGTTATAGGTAATGTATAATGAAACGTAAGAAAGAACTATCAACCAATTGTGAAAGAGAGGATGTGACAGGTGGGTGTGGCAGGAGAGGTCTGATTTTCTCTTTGATAGCTCTGTAACGAAACAATATTGAAGGCTATAAATATTACGGTCTGTTTGAGCAATAATGATTTTATAGAGAGCATTTTACGTTTAATTTTGTACATTTTCGAGGGGTGATGGATAAAATAGGGATGATGATATGCTAAGACAAAATGTGTCATGTGAATTATACTAGTGGAAATTCAGGATTTTTTTATATATTTCCTTTTAGAATTAAGAAATTGAAACTTATATACTATTAAAATATGGATTATTAGCTAAGATTTAATTCTATTCTAATTGGTATAACATAAACAAAAAGTAGTTTAATAAAATTTTGAATGTAAGACACTAAAACCTTGTGTAAATGGTACCCATGGAGATAGGGTTAATGGGGAGGAAGGGCAGGAGTGTTAGAGAAGGTAAGTATTATTGGAAATACATTTTCAATTCAAGGAAATGTTAACATCCAAAAGATACCTCCACTGACTTATAGCTGGAATACCACATTGATACAGTGGAAGGGTCAGTGATGGCATTATCCATACAAAAAGCATTTACATAGATCTTGGGTGTGTCAATAGAAGATTGGCACCTTAGTAGGGGAACCTCACTACATCCAGAACTGGTATGCTCTTTACCCAGTACTTAATTCAAGTAGTATGGGTGGAATTTTACATTATTTATCATCATTGATGGCCAGGCCTCAACCAGATAGCCGAGGTTCCACAACTCAGGGTTGAAATATAGGGCCATGGTGGCTATATTCCATGTTGGTGGTTGGGGCAATTGGACTGCAATCTATATCTATATATATATACTTATGAGTGGGTCCCAACCTGTAGCCATAAAGTGATGCATTCTGAGCCACCAGAATCACAACAAGAAGGTAAGTAGCACTGAAGTGGACAAACCTTCTCCTCAAACTAAAGAAGTCTGAAAGGCAACACCTCAGGCTTGGAATGATGGGATATTGTATGCCCTACTCAACTTTAGGAAAAAGAACTCATCTGGTCTGGAATTATGAACACTCATCCTCACTCCCAACCATGTGAGCAAGGTAAATTCCATTTGCCCCCAGAATTATGGGGAGGATATGGAACAACAGTGCTCAACAAGCAGCCAGGATGGGACCACTCTGCAATTAGAACTATGAGGAGACAGTGGACCCTCCTCCATGAACAATGTACTGAACCAATATTGATCAAAAACAAAGCTACGCTCAACCCAACCAGACAGCTAAGCATCAAAGCTGAACCGGTATTACATGTAGGCTCCTGTGTAGGCTGCCTCTCATACCAACATCTGGGGGAAAAAACCATCTAGGGACCCAGGTAGGAGGGCCACCAACTTCGCCCTCATCTCCAAGAGTAGAGGGAGGAAATTTACTCTAACACTCTGGAAGAAAAGCCTCAGTCCACTACCCTAGTGACTGGAAACCAGGTGTGGTAAGGACTCCCTAGCTCCACTAGTAGAATCTGTGGGGCAATACATGTCGGGGAGCCCTGAGGAACAGTGCTTTGGAAACAGTACAATAGGTGAACAACTTCCCTAAGTTTTTGAAATCAAACCACCAGGATTTACTCAATCCAAGGATCAGCAGGGACAGGCAGGATCCCCTTATGCTTTACTCATGATAGTCCATGAGTGGCAGTCCAGAATAGTACAATAATATCATAGGTGGGATAGGGGAAGTCTGATTAGCCTCCATGCTGGAAACAGTAACCTGGGAATTCATGCTGCATATCAGCATATCGTAACAATTTTTTATTACAAAAATCAACTAGGTGATGCAAAAATTCCTCCAAATGTCAATAATAGTTGCAGTACAGAGAAACCCATTCCTGAATGCTTTGTTGAGAAAAAGTGATAACATTAACTGAATGAGGTGCTTATATACAGTACCAGGATAGAGGATGCACTGACACAAGTGGAGAGTCACGAGATAAATATCACCAAGAGCAATTAAGTAGAGTATAAAAGACTGGAGCAAGCGAGAAAAAATCAGACTAATGCTTAGATGGACAAAGGAAAAAACCTTGGCAGTTGAGTAACAGCTGTAGTGTGAGGGGAGTTATGGTTTGAAAATCACCTTCCTCTTAGCCTAGTTAGTCTGACCCAGATTCGACTCTATAAAGGCACAAACAAATCTTCAAAAAGAATACTTAATTGAAAGATCTGGCTTTTTGTGTATTAAAAGCTTGCCAAATTGCAGAAAGATACACTTATTACTTGAAAAATTACAGTATGTAGAGCTTGACAGATATATGGTGGTTGTAAGACTGGTCAAAATGACCAAGCCCATATCGAGGGTTGACTGATTTAGCCTTAAAGCTGCTATATCTTGAACTGTTCTTCAAGATGACTATCATTAGAGCTGCTACAGTCTGAGATGTTCTCTATAATGTTGACTGGTTTAGCCCAAAAGCTGCTATATCTTGAACTGTTCTTCAAGATGACTATCATTAAAGCTGCTACAGTCTGAGCTGTTCTCTATAATGTTGACTGGTTTAGCCCTAAAGCTGCTATATCTTGAACTGTTCTTCAAGATGACTATCATTAGAGCTGCTACAGTCTGAGCTGTTCTCTATAATGTTGACTGGTTTAGCCCTAAAGCCGCTACATCTTGAACTTCTCTTCAAGATGACTATCATTAGAACTGCTACAATCTGAGCTGTTCTATATTAAGTTGACTAGTGTAGCTCTAAAGCTGCTACATCTTGAACTGCTCTTCAAGATGACTATCTATAGAGCTGCTAAACATGAACTATTATTCAAGCTAACTGGTGGTGTTTTAAGATATTATTGAAAATATCTACATCACATTTTTATCACACACATGCTTAAAGTTAGGTTTCCCATGATAGATGTTCTCCTTTTAACTCTTTTAGCATGGGCTCTGTCCATGGGACTGACCTCATAACCATGTTGTGCTTGTTATAGTTTTCATGCTAACACTTTTAAATTAGTAAGCGAATGTTAATGAAATTTGGAAGATTATCAGTAAAAATTACAATGCTTTCATACACAAAACATCAGAATTTTTATTAATTCTTAAGATTTGTAAAGCAATGTTTTTCTCATGTTTTAGTAGACTAGTATTTTGTAAAATACAGTCACATTTCAATTATTATACATTTCATATGCATATAGATTATTGCTATTTTGAAATAAGTTCTTAAACTTATTTTTCTGAAAATATAGAACAGTAAATAAAGAAGTAAAGCAAATAATTATCTCTTCTAGTTTTGACCTTTGTACTTGGTTGTTGCTTGACAGCCCACCTCGTTGAAATATTGGTTCAAAAGAAAGCAATAGCACCAAGCCCAATAAAATGGCTGAGAAAGCCACTAGGGGGACATTCTAAGCTTCCAATTCGTTATTCATGTCATATTTAGAAATGTATACAAGGGACGTTTCCAAAAATGGAAAGAGGTGGGCGGGGTGCCACTGTATTTTTGATTTATTACATGAACAATATCTTAGCAAATATTAAAGATAATATGTTCTTATTTTATATTCTAGCTTGTCGAAACAGGTACATCACCGATTTTTTTGGCACCCTTGGTTCCAGAGCCTTGCTGGATTAATGAAATACCACAACTGTCACTTGAACCTTGCTTAGAAGCCATAGCTAGGGTTAAATGTAAGCAAAATAAGCTAAGAATCACACAAAACCGAGGGATCACCATCACCAACTGCAGACGTAAACAATTAACTCTTTTGGGATAGAGGCACATGATGCCATCTTTAAATTCTCTCTGTTAACATAAATAAAAAATTTAATTAAACAACTTTCTTTAAATATTTTTTCAGAAAATTGTCATTTTCAAGTATGTTATATTTTGAATTTTCATACACTATTATCAACTATCTGCATTGTAAAAAATTGAAGAAGAAATCAAAATTAAATATTTGTATCTTGTTAAACTACATATTCTTGGCAACATTCATGAAAAAATTCAAGCAATCTGATCCACTAGTTTAATATTTATAAGAAAATTTTCACAAGTGTGATATACCTACTTAAAATGTAAGTAGCCTGTCCCAAAAGATCGCATGCCACACACAATGCCATCTGTGGCTGGCCAGTGAACTAATCTGGCAGTCGCGGGAATTTCAAGTGCGCTCTCAAAATTTTGTCCAGATTAAAGGAGGTACTGGACCATCAGTTGCCGGAAAATCGGTTGTGTACTGTATCGGTAATTTGAGTTTTGAATTTGTACAAAACTACAGCCTTAGTATTTTGACTTTACAAGCATCTAATTTAAACCAGTGCTGCATTCAACATACCATATG